TGAGGTCGAATTTCAAAAGGGACCAACGAAAAATCTGAGTTGAAGAGGTTTCGAGTTAAGGAAACGAGCTTTTTTGTTGGGGGAAAAATACTATTTACAGGAAATTGTGATTGATGATATTCTGCTATGCCGTAACTGGCTTCCGAAATGAGTTGACATGATCCTTAACTTGGAGGCAAGGGTTAATTTGCCCAATTTATCTTTCACTTCCTTTCAAAACGCATCAAGTTCCTTCATTCGTTTTCTCTTTCCTGCGTCAATTAAAAAATGCCCAAAAGGCCCCTGCTGAAAATTTGAGTTATGGAGTTTAGAGCGGAAGAGCTTTCAAATAAGGGAGATTTTAATGCATTCTTTTTAAGGGAATTCAGATGGAGACTTGGAAAACAAATTATTCAATTTAAGGAGGTTCGAGTTATCAAAGTTCGACTGAAACTCTCGTCTGCTTTAATTGATAACAACGGAAAGTTTACGTGAGCCGTAGTTAAGTTCTCAACTTATTTTTTCTTTCCTTTCATTACCTATATTTTCGAGTCTTTTACTTTTCAAATGAAACAGAATCACCTCCAATCCACCATTAAATTCATTTAAAAAAAATTCAAAAATATAATGCCTAACCTCATAATTTACGTCGGGCTTCTTGCAATTTTTATTGTTTGAACGTTTTTTCTACTTGCCTTCAATGAACGATGGATGTATTTCTTCACTTGAAAATTTTTAAAACTTCCAACAGTAAGAGTAAACCAGTTACATGATGTGAACCCTTCGACATAAAACGCAAAAAGTCATTTTCTACTATAGTTCGTCCACATGAGACTGTACTTCAATAGAGGTAAACGCAAATACGGTAAATAAAGGGATTCCCGCGAAAGAGGAAAAAAAAAAACCCCCGGGTGTTTAATTCGATTCTAAAATAAATGAAGGGACTCCCGTGAAAAAGGAAAAAAAAAAAACCCGGGTGTTTAATTCGATTCTTGGAACATGTACTCGACTAATATTGCAACTCACTAAAAATCGACCTCGCTGATTGTTCCATGATGAAAGGGGCATCTTTGTCCTTGTAAAACATTGGCATGCCTACTGCAGAAAACGCGACTGTCAATCCCAGGTTGAGCCCAAGTGTTGATCCGAGTATTGAACAGAAGAGCTGAAATAACAATGCTCTATTTGCAATGACGTAGAAGAAAAAAAAATTAAAAAATACAATTGGCTGAATTCCCCTCTTAGAGTTCCGCTCGGGCATTCAATTAGAATAAATCCTTGGATGAATACTTCTGATGAGTCGGTACTTTAGTTTCAAAAACCAAAATACGGCGTACAATTTATTCAATAACTTCAGAAGGGAATTTTCGCCGTTTTTGAAATTATAGCAAGAGATATGCTTCACCTCTCGAAGGAATCCTTGATGATGGAAAACTTCTCGCCAACTGGTTCCTTTTCCCATCACAAATACCTTTGTTCTGATGATTGAAGTCTGCAGTGAAATATTTTTACTCACTGTCCACGCTAAAATCTGGTTGAAATCCTGATATCACGTGTGGGATAAACGATTGGCGATGACAACTGATTTTTTGCACTGAGATTTGTTGGTGAAGCACTTGATCTTGAAAAATTGCCGAATCACTATTTTCTTACGGGGTGATACAACCTTGATCGTCAGCATCCGAATGCTTCACTTATTGTGCTTCAAACTTCGCCGATTCTGAAATTGCAAATGGTTCAATTGGAAATATTTTCTGTACCATCTCATCAGATAAAAACCCGTTCAGCCAAGAAATTTAATATTCCGTCAAGTGCACTTCACGTGATACTCGCAATACTCGTTTTGAAGTTGCTTTTACTTGCATTGGTCTGGTTTGGAGGAAATTTCCGCGAGGTATTATTTTTAACATTTTCCGTTTTTCTTCTCCCCAAGTGTCAATATTACTCAATCGAATGAATTCCTGCTTTCCTAACTCCAATGTCTTATTTTGTTGGCGTGCTCCTGAAAGAAATTTTGATCCAGTTGAAGAATTATCCCTGTCCCTTTTAAAGAAATATTTTTTGACGGAAGATGGTTTTTCTCATTAAATTCTTCGTCGAACCCCGTAAGTTTTAAAAATCCAAGCTCATAATGCGTATAGCCAATGATGCGGAAAAATGAGGGGAATTTCGAAAATTTTGCACGCACTCCACTCAGTCCACTGATACTCTATTTTGGTACATTTTCGGTTCAGCTTGAAAAAAAAAAAAAAGAAAATTACTATGTGCCCTGGCGTCCGTTACACAGTAGTTTGGTAGTCATACAAAAAACAGGATTAAAAATTGCTGACTGGGTATGGTTTTACTTCGTACAGCTCATCATTATTTTTATTTTAGCTTTAGCAAGGAGACCAGAAGTACGAGTTCATGTCTCATGGAACTGCGCTTTGAAGTTGTGAAGTTGAAGGTTGAATCTGAGGTGATCGATTTTCTACTTTTCCGTCGGTTCAAAAATTTTTTTTAAATATCGAACGTAGATTTTCTTGAAAACCAGTTAATGGATTTTAAGCGAGGATATCCGTGTGCAGTGCTTATTTTTTAAGTTCTCTTTTTCCTTTGCCAATATATGCTTCTTCGGAAAAATATTCCGAACTTTGAAAGCTACAAAATAAGGTTTGAGCCTTCGCTTCGCCAATATTCCCAAGAATCGCGTTTGGAAAATGTGTTCTTATTTTCGAGAGCACTTCATAGTACTGTAGTTATCATAAATGCAACTACCCGAGTACTTTAGACTAAATATTCCGTAACCCACTCCTGAGCTTTGGTTTCTTACTGAGATTATGATCACGGGTGGGGAAGATAAATTATCGGAAACGGAATAAAGCTAATTATCATACAGTAGTAAAAATCGCTGAAAAAGGGTGCTTTTTGAGATGCGACAATTTAACGTCAGAATTAGA